AAAAAATCATAAAAGAAAACACAGCAAAGAAGCATAAGAAGAAATACCTAGAGACTGCTCAACTCAAACTCGAACTCTGGCAAGCGACTTGGAATCGTTTGGACTAAAACCATCCTTAATCATGTGTTTTCATGAGAAAACACATGATTAAGGGCTATCGTAATCCAAAAATCAAGAATCCCCAATTTGAGAAATTAGGGTTTTGGTCAAGGTTAGATTCGAGGAAATCAGTGGCGATTTGAGGGGAATAAACTAAAGATTAGGGAACAGTGGGTGGTGGAGGTTTTATGGTATTATTTTGGTGGGGTTTGGGAGTGGCGCCGCCGGATACGGCAGAGGCGGCGACTAGGGTCTTGATTATTCGAGCAGTTTGGGTGGGATTTGAGGGAAACGGGGCTTGGATCTGGAAAGGGGAGGGCGAGGTGCTCAAGTGGTGTTAATTTGGGGGCCTTTGGGTGATCGCCGCCGGCGGAGGCGATTTCCGGATAGCGGTTTCCGGACATCCTTAATCATGTGTTTTCACGAGAAAACACATGATTAAGTGCTATCGTAATCCAAAAATCAAGAATCCCCAATTTGAGAAATTAGGGTTTTGGTCAAGGTTAGATTCGAGAAAATCAGTGGCGATTTGAGGGGAATAAACTAAAGATTAGGGAAGAGTGGGTGGTGGAGGTTTTATGGTATTTTTTTGGTGGGGTTTGGGGGTGGCGCTGCCAGATACGGCGGAGGCGGCGACTAGGGTCTTGATTATTCGAGCAGTTTGGGTGGGATTTGAGGGAAACGGGGCTTGGATTTGGAAAGGGGAGGGCGAGGTGCTCAACTGGTGTTAATTTGGGGGCCTTTGGGTGATCGCCGCCGGCGGAGGCGATTTCCGGACAGCGGTTTGCGGTGGTAGGCGACGGCGTTTAGGTTTTCCAGTGAGAGGTTCGAGAGAGACGAAGGTTTTCCACTTTGATTTCAACTCTTTTTGTTCTTTTTTTATTTTCTTTATTCTAGATTGAGACTCATTCTTTTGGTCATCTCGAACCCTGTGTCTCGAGGTAAAACCTGCTCAGACACCCAAATAAACAAACGAACGAAATTTTTCTGCCCCAGTTTTCACTAGGAAAATTTCGTGAGTTATTTGCGACAAAACCTAAACTTTTCTTTTTCTTTTTCTCTCTCTTTTTTTTTCGAAAGAAAATAAAATAAGGATTGCATCTATCTAGAAGGGAAAAGATCAGGGGATGGAGCCCTATATCTAAAACGTCAACTCAGGGATTGGAGCCCTAATGTTGGCGAAAAAGCGAATAAGGAATGGAGGCCCTATGTCTAAAAGACGCAACTCCGGGATTGGAGCCCTAATGTTGGCTAAAGGGTAAAAAGCTCAACTCAGGGATTGGAGCCCTAATGTTGGCAAAAGGCGACTAGGGAATGGAGGCCCTATGTCTAAAAGGCGCAACTCAGGGATTGGAGCCCTAATGTTGGCTAAAGGGTAAAAAGCTCAACTCAGGGATTGGAGCCCTAATGTTGGCAAAAGGCGACTAGGGAATGGAGGCCTAATGTTGGCAAAAGGCGACTAGGGAATGGAGGCCCTATGTCTAAAGGCGCAACTCAGGGATTTGAGCCCTAATGTT